TAACAGGTTCAAACAAGCATGGCAAAAATGCATATGACAAACTGATCATCCTCAAAAGAGGCACGGATCACTAGGAAATAACATGAACATATGGCATCATGAAATAAACAGCTCCAGGACTTAGTGAAATCACTAAGTCCCTGAAAACAGAATTAGCAAGTGCACCACTTTGCAAGCTTGCACAAGTCACCACACACATCCTAAAAATACATGGGTTGTACCTCTGGAAAGATGACAAAACCCTTAACAGAACACATGTAGAGCATCAGGGCATATCATGCACACAATAATCATGGCAAAAATGACAAAAGCCTAAATGGAGTAGCAGATCTGACAATTAACTCAAGTAGCCCTCTTCTAACAGCATTTCGGGCATCAAGATGAGCTCAAATGAAAATGATGCAATGGAATGAAATGATGTACTCTCTGAGATGAACATTTTGATATGCTATATGCATGAATCGGAGCTACGGATGCAAAGTTACGGAGCCGCGAACATGAGCACTTGGACTGAGAATTTCGGGACTTGGTGAAAAAAAAACGACCTAGGGTTAGGGTTTACTGTTCACGCCAGATCTAGATCGGGATCGCATGGAGCACGAGGTTCGTCGGCCGGAGGAGAAACTCGCTGGAGGAGGGGGGGCTCGCCGGCCGGACCCGAGGGAGAGGAGGAGGCGGCGGACTCCGGGGTCGGCGGTGGCGGGCGCGGCGGCTGGATGCGGCGGCGCCGGCGATGGCGCGCGGGGCGGCCGGGCCTGGGTCGAGGCAGCACCGGCGCGGCGGCCGCCGACGAGGAGCTTCGGGCGGGCGGCGGCTGGAGGTCCGGCGGGCGGCCGGCAGCGGGGACGAAGGCCCCGGGCGGCGGCGCGGGTCAACGGGCCTCGGGGGCCCCTCCTGGGCCTCCCGGGCCGACGGCGGCTTACGAAGTGGGGAGGGCGGCGCGGCGAATGGCAACACGCCACGTGGCGGCGGCGGGGCAGACGCTGTCCGGTCCGCTCCGGACACGTCCGGCGGCGGCGGTGGATGGGTCTAGGGTTAGGGGGGAGAGTGGAACCGCGAATTTGAAGGAGGGGGTCTATAAATAGGCATAGAGGGAGCTAGGAGAGTCCAAATGAGGTGCGGTTTTCGGCCATGTGATCGTGATCAAACGCTCTAGGTGATGGAGCAGAGTTAGGTGGGGTTTGGGCCAAATTGGAGGGGTGTTGGGCTGCAACACACACGAGGCCTTTTCGGTCCCTCGGTTAACCGTTGGAGTATCAAACGAAGTTCAAATGGTACGAAACTTGACAGGCGGTCTACCGGTAGTAAACCAAGGCCACTTGGCAAGTCTCGGTCCAATCCGAAAATGTTTAATCCCCACACACGAAAGAAAGCTAGAAATGGCCACCGGAGGAGAACGAAGCGCCGGAATGCAAAACGGACAACGGGGAAAATGCTCGAATGCATGAGATGAACACGTATGCAACTGCAATGCACATGATGACATGATATGCAATGCATGACACGCAAGCAATGACAATGCAACAACAGCGAATAACTGCACGACACCTGGCACATCGGTCTCGGGGCGTGACATCCTCATCCCTTGTACTATCCAGCAGACATACGTCATGAATAGAGGAAACCACTCGGCTTTCAGTCTCATCGGTGATGGTCGGCAATATGTCATGTGATGGATCGCTGGGAACTTCGTCCAAATTGATGTGTTTTTTCATAGGCATGGTCTGGTACGTCGGTTAAATCCTCTACAGTAGTGACTTCATGGGTGGCGGGTGGGACGAAATTTTTTGTGCCTTTAGATTCATCGAGTTCTGGCTGTCAGAGGGGCTGAGATTTTGGATTTGGTTTAACCTCTCGTTCAAAGCCGAGAGTTCGGCCTCGCCCGTCTCTTGGCGGCAGGGGAGCCGACCTATAGTTGAGCCGAGGTGCGGCATGACACTGCCTTGGAAATTTTGCCAGAGTGGCTCGATGCCTGAACCGGCGAGGTAATGTTCGGATCCGGGCTTGAGGCCAAGTCCGGAGTACATATCTCATGGTGGCCCGCTCCGAGATCGAATCCGACTTGTGGCGGATGACATCCATAGAATCCTCGAGCCGATCTGATACCCAGCCCGAGAAGACGAGCTTGTCGCGAGAGTCTGCGACATGTTGCCAAACCGAAGGGCTTGGCTTGGCGGAAGGCTGGCCCGCGGGGTCGGTGTGCGATATAATGTTGTCGAAGGCAAAAAAGCTGGCTGGGGACGAAGATGTCCCCACAGCCGACGCTATCATCGATCCGAAGACCAAGACCTGCCATCTAGCTTCTCATGATCACCTGACGGGTAATGTATGGGCCACCCATGTCAGTGCTAAAACCGGTAGATCTCGGGTCGGGGGTCCCAAGCTTGGTGATCAGAGTTAGATGGTAACAGGGAGAGTAGGGACACGATGTTTTACTCAGGTTCGGACCCTCTTGATGAGGTAAACCCTACGTCCCGCTTTTTATGTATTGATTGTAATGGGATACAAAGTACAGATTGATCTTCCTCAAGATCGTATGATTTGTCTAAGCTCTAAACCTTTCGAATGTGCCTCTACATACTAAACCATACGGGCGCTGGGGGTACCTCGGGTTTACACATGGTCGGTTACAATTTAGCGATAAACATGCCAACTATTCAAATACGTTTGAAGTGTACGCCTTCAGGAGATCTTCATCTTGATTATGCCGAGGGCCAGGGCTAGCATGGCCCATTCATCAATCTTTGGTGGTCCTCGGCCCGGTCCATAGCCGGCGGACCGAAGTGGCAAACACCCCCTAATCCAGGACACCACCAGCAGACACGAGGACCCAGCGGTGGCCGGGAACACCCTCTGGAGCAGTAGAGAAGGAGAAGAGGGGCACAAGGTGTGGCGGTCTGGGAGGGGCGTGGAGAGCCCAGAGCTGCGTGGCGCGATGTGCCGGTGCCATTGTGCGCACCGCGTCATCGGGCGGCGAGAACGGCGCAGAGCCAGAGCTTCCGCCTTCTTCCCGTTCAAAATCCACGACTGACGTAAAAGCGATGCAGAAAGTGAGCTCCTCAACATCGCCCGGCCCCGCCCCGCGCAACAACGACTCCTAGTCTCCGTCCTCGGTGGACTTTGCGCTGCTGTCGAAACTCGACATGGATCGGAAGGGAAGAGGACGACACGGAAAGGGGGCGGCCGAGAGTGGAGTGAGCTTTGACTACGATTTAGGCCTCTAGGGTTTTTCTGGAATGGGGTTATATGCGTGTCCGTATGAGCCAAGGTGGGTCGGTACGATGTGGCCGACTGGCCCAAGCATGTTCATTCCTCTTCATACCCACCCCAGATTTGGGTATGGTTTGAGAGGTGGGTCACATTTTTATGACCGGGCATTGATCGAGCCAACCGATATTTAAGCGCTCATATTACCGAAATAGGCTTACGCCCCGCTATATTGATATAACAACCATCCGATACAACATTCCGATCAACGCTGGGGCAAACAGCATAAGCACGCCCAAAAGAAATAACAAGAGAAAATAAGAGAAGAAATGCTAACAACGCCGGATCAACGAAAGCTAAGGCACACCGCGACCGCTGCGCCCACCGAAGATAACCACCACGCTCCAAAGCCATCGAGTTGCCGTGTACCAAGCACCACCTTCAAGAAGGAATGCGACGATGACAACGCTGTTGCCCGAACGAATCCTAGGATTTCTTCCGGTACACAGAGGGTAGAGGGGGGAGAGGGTCACCCGACGCCCTTCAAGAAGGATGGCGGCACCCGCAGGCGTCACCGCGTTGGTGCCGGCAAGACCCGACATGGATTTCTCCCGACCTCTCGCGACCACCACCCAGGACCAACCTTCGGCTCCACCACACTCGACGTCCACCAACATGCGCCAACAGTCACGAAGACACCGCCGTCGTCTCACCACGGCCAACGAAGCGAGGTCGGCCGGTCCAAACGAGACACCCGAAGACAAGGACCGGCAGCACCGCAGCCACGAGGGAGGGAACAACCTCCACCGGCTTAGGTGGTAGCAGACCAGGCATAGCAGCAGAGGCATACCAGACCCCCTGTCCGGCCAGGCCCAGCATGGGCCCATGAAGCTCTGCCGCCGTGCTGCAGCAGTCGCGGCACAGTAGCCGCCGTCCCTGTCGCGAGGAGCTCACCGGAACCACCGGAGAACAACCCACTGCGGCCACCCAGCAGGCCCACCCCGACCCAGATCGGGCCCGTAGGGCCTAGATCTGGGCCAGCCGGGCGCCGCCGGCCGCCACAAGCCATGGGCCGTCACCGCCGCCAAGGGGCAACGCCTCCGCACCGCCGCCGTCCAGATCCGCGCCGGAACGCCGCCGGCCGACTCACATACTCGCATACACTAACCCCTATGAACGCACACGCACACCCTACCTCTATGAGCATCTTCGATAGACTAAGTCGACATATTTTGAGATTTACGAAGTCATCATAGACGCCTCATAGTCTACGAGAATGTTTTTTCCCACTGAACGCGCGTCGCCGAAGATACTGAAATAAATCAAGAAAAAAATACAAGCACCATGATTTGAACCGTGATAAATTAGGGATGTCATCTTTGTCCTAACGATCCAACCACGGATTAGTTCACGTGTATGTGATGCGTTGGATGTGTTCTCTTCGTTCCTGGCCATCCCCACTCCATTTCCTCCCCACATCAAGGATCCGTCCTGCCCCAATCGCTCTCTCTCCAAACACACACCTACTCGTTTTTGCTGTGCCCAATTAATTCCCTCCTCTGTTTCTCTGTTCCATCCTCCCTTCTCAAAGATTCAAACAAAAGCTTCACAAGGACAAGGATGAGCTCCGTCGCCGTCTCAAGAAGTATAGGAGACGGTACACGAAGCCACATGTTGTGACTTGTGAGCCCTCACGACACCGCCATTGGTGACCGGTGAGCCGAGCACCCCACATTCTCTTCTTCCACCTTGTCTTTAGATCGGGTCCGGCGGGAGCCGTGAGCCACCACACCATGCATGCTGCCATCAAGTACGCAGCCCTGTCGCCCCTGCAGCTCCCGCTCCCCTACCTGCCACCCCCAGTGCCGCCATTACTGCCGCTGCTGTCGCCGCCGCCTCCGGCGACCGTCGATGCAGGCTTTCAGAGCAGGATCAGCCCCAAGATCCTTCTCATCGTCTTGATCTTGGCCGTGATCTTCTTTGTCTCCGGCCTCCTCCACTTGCTCGTCTGGTTGTTGTTCCGCCCGAAGCCGCGTGACCCTGGCGACGCCGGGAGCAGCGCCGCGAACGCGACCGCCTTCCACGGGCAGCTTCAGCAGCTGTTCCATCTCCATGACGCCGGCGTCGACCAGTCTTTCATCGACGCGCTGCCGGTATTTCTCTACGGCGCGGTCGTGGGCGCTGGAGGGAAGGACCCCTTCGACTGTGCGGTCTGCCTGTGTGAGTTCGCCGACGACGACCGCCTCCGCCTCCTCCCCAAGTGCAGCCACGCCTTCCACGTCGAATGCATCGACACGTGGCTTCTGTCGCACTCTACGTGCCCGCTCTGCCGCTGCAGCCTCCTGGCCGACTTCTCGCCGTGCGGCGGCGGCTGCAGCTCGCTGGTGTTTGTGCTCGAGTCTGGCTCGGAGGGCTCCGTCTCCGGCCGCGTCGACCGGCCGCCCCCTGCTCACCTCAGCCTGGTCATGGAGCAAGACGAAGGATGTGAAGGTCAGACGCACTCGGATGTCAAGGAGAAGGACGAGGTAGTCGTCCCCGTGAAGCTCGGCAAGTTCAGGAGCCAGGCCACGGAAGGAGGCGCGGGGTGCAGCTCCAACCCCGACCAAGATGTGAGGCGGTGCTACTCCATGGGGACCTATGAGTACGTCATGGACCAGAGCTTCCTGCTCCGTGTATCCGTGAAGCCGCCGGCGGCCAGGCTCTCGAAGCCCACGATGGACAAGAAAGAGAGCTTCTCCATCTCCAAGATATGGATGCGGGGTGGGCTGCGGAGGAAGGACAGCAGCGCGGCCCCGTCAGGCTCGTCGTCGCGCCGCACGTCGTCGTTCCGGCTCCCCTCGGCGCTCCAGCGCGCGGCGAGCGACGTCGGGGCGCCGAAGCGGCGGGCGGAGGTCGTGAGCCCCGTCACCGAGTCCGAGTACAACGTGTCGGCGTGGGACAAGAGCGCGAGCGGCAGCGCCGTGGATTGGGACGTGGAGTCCGGCACGGCCGCCGGCGGGCTGAGGTCGAGGGCGGACGAGGCGCCTTCGTTCGCGAGGCGGACGCTGCTGTGGATCAGAGGCCACCCCTGAGAAGAAGGGAAGATCGCCGAGCTCTTTGCTCCCCTGCTCCGAGCTGGGATCCAGATTATCAGCGCGCTGGTTTGCTCTTTTTCGGTTCGATCCGTGAGATTTGAAGCAGTTTGATGTGTGGAATGCAAGGTTAATGATTTTACCGCTCAGGACTTTTTAGATGTCTCCGCATCTGCAGAGCGTTTCACTATCGTCTTGCTTCGACGAGGTTTTCTCTGAATATGCCACGTTATGAATTTCAAAATTCAGAAAGCAAACTGGCTTTCAAAAAACAACATGCGGCAATTTCATAATTCATTTCGTATTCAGCCCCTTGGTTTTTCATTCATGGCTGGGCTCTACTACCCTGGATCCGGACGCGCAAGAGCTGCCGGATTTTGAAAAGCAAATTTGTTTGATAATAATGCGTGGGGTGGCCATCCCACTTGTGCTGCTAGTAGAGTACCTACTCTCCTGCATCACATTGAATCGTCGTCGCCTGCTTCAACCGAAGAACACTCGCATAATTGCGGCCTTGAATGCCATAGACGGTTGGCTGGTGGACTTTTTTTGGTTGGTCGACTTTAATGTCAGTAATAACTTCTCCAACCCGAAACGAGTAAATATCTGTATTTTTGGGGAGCTCTCATTCAGCGCTTCTGTGCCGAATTGGCGCTAAAACACGCGATGGGCGCCGCCCTCCCTTCGTACGACCAGTTTTTCAGCCGATTTTTCTGTATTTTCAGCTGGTTTTTTATTAACCACTAAAAAAATACGTTTTTAATTAATATGACTTTTATGAAGTTCAATAATCTTACAAAATGTTAATGAATTTTTAAACAACTCCCCTAGTTTTAAAAATATTTATAAATTTCAAAATATTCACAAATTTTTAAAATATGCATGACGTATGAATTTAATATATATTCACAAAAAATGGAAATGTTCAGATATTTAAAAATTATCACGAATTAGAAAAGAAAAATAATAGAAAAAGAGAAAGAAAATAACGAAAAGAAAAGAAACAAGGCATAGCTTTTGGAATCTTCCCAAAACCGGTGAAAGAGGGACTACATGGGCTCGTTGATGAGTCCAACTTTTGCGTCATTTTATAGTACATTTTATTTTGCATCTTAGTGTTAAGATTTTCATGGATTTTATCGCATTCCCGCACCCTTTTATTTGTTTTCACAAGGATTTCAGCTGCGGAGTTATTTTGAGGCACAAGAGAAGAATCCCAAGGATAAGGTGTAAAAATCATGTTAATTGACGTGATGAAAGACTACCATAAAAAGGAGAAGTCGAATGGAGAAGAAAGAAAACACAACGGAGGTACAAGAGCAGTGAGATGATGATAAAGTGCGCCAAATGAGTAGGGAAATTTGGAGGACGAGCTCGATGGAGCTAAATTTTTTATCTAAAAAACACATTTTGAAGTTAGAAAAATATCTAAAACACATTCTACACTTCATACATTCTACATGTGTATAAAGTCTAAAGATGAAATACATTATGATAGAGATACACAGAAAAGACAAATTCATGCATTTTTAACAGTGAACCATGTGTGTACTGGCCACCATATCCAAATCACAATTTTGTTTTTTTGGTGTAGCTCTCACCATAATGTATGTCATCTTCAAATTTCACACACATCTGTATGAACGTGTGTGACTTTTTCAACAACAACAAAAAATTCAAAGTGTGATTCTTTTTTATTATTTTTGAACTTCAAAATGTGATTTTTGATTATTATTATTACTAGATTTTATTTTAAACGAGCTCCATGGAGCTCGTCCTCCATTTAGCATTTCGTCGGCAAATGGCTTTCCCTCCGAAGAAAAAACAGGTTAGGTACCAGCATTACCGTAACTCACTTTATTATCGAGTGGAATACATTTCCATGGTTAACCCGGACAGAAGGATGAAACTGTCCAACTTTCACGTATATGGACATGATCAGAACCCGAAGGGTCGGGAAGCACAATTTCTCAATTGTCATCAGCCCGCGCCATCTTAGTCCTGTCGTCGACGCCATCATTGAGCACGACATCGCCGGAGTTGTAGCCGACACGGTTGCCTGGCTCCGCCGCCTGCTGCACGGTTGGATAGTCACGGCCCGGCTCTTTGTGTTGGCAAATCTTTGGAGGACGTCCCTTGTACGCCTTGCAGATGTAAGCTACGAAGTCCCCGAAGTCCTGAATCAAACGATCTCATCACAATTCAAGAAGTAGCGTGTGGATATACATGCTGAAGCTCAGGCGTCTAAAAGAAGAAGAGAAGAGCGGCTGTTGCTTACGTCGTACAGCGGCTTGCCATCAACCACCACCCACGGAACGGACGTGTGGCGAGGCACGAGCGCATCTGTCTGTCTCCCGTACTTGAGCGAAAGCTGGACGGAGCAAACAAAGTGCCAACACTATAGTCAGCAATCTAGCCATAAAATGTATGCGATTGGTACTACAACGCAGGCGCAGCGGCATGGGAACGGACGACCTTGTGGCCATGCTCACTCTTGTAGCACTCCATGACAGGCTTGGGGTGAAGCCCTTGCTTCTGGAAGCACGACTGCCACTCCTGGTGCTTGTACTCCATCGCCAGCTCCTCCACGCAGATGATGAAGCCGAAATGCACATTCTGCAACCAACAACAGCTAGCTATCAGTATCATATCCGGCCAGGGCAGGGCCAGGGGTGAAGCTGTGAGGAGGGAGAGACGATGATGAGATGCGAATTGAATGAATGAATTACCACGTCCGGCCAGGCGTCGATGGCGCAGGCCTCCACGGTGTTGAGAAGGCATTCCTCGGGGCCATGCTGCATGCAACAAGCCAATATCCCAACGTTAGTATCAGCATCAGCACCATGCACCTCCAAACAAGTCAGTAACTAGACAGTGCTAATTCACACCTCAGAAACCCAGCCCAAAAGGATCTACTACTATAGTGCAGCGATGTCGCACCTGACATGTGATGGCGCCGTGCGCGTCGACCTTGGCGTTGCCGTAGGGAACCAGGGTGAGGTCAGCGGCATCGAGGAGTCCGTCCTTGAAGACTCTGGCGAGGCTGTCCACCATGAACTGAAATGAGTCGGGGCATAGAGACTCGTAGTAGAGCTCCATGCGCACCTTCCCGTTTCCCGCGTCGCCCGCTGAGGAGGCGCCGCCGATCAGCAGGAGGAGCGCGGCGAGGAGGAGGAAATGGTGCAGGCGGGAGGCCATGGTTTTCGCTCCTCCGGTTGATCAATGGGCAGGGGATGCAGAGACGAAGGTCACCCTCGGGAGCTCCGAGCCTTGGATGAGTGGAGGAGCTTGGCAATGGGGGGTTTATATTGGCGAGGTGGTTCAAAGGTCAAACTAGAATTACTCCATGTCTAGCTCCTCAGCAGCGTGTGGCCATGCAAAACCGGAAAGGGTGTCCTACACAATCTAATGAACCTTGTTTCTTTTGCAAGAGTTTGCCACTCTAGGCAAGAACTCAGTGCGATACATTTCCTTTCAGAACTAGATCGCGTAAACCAGTAGGCAAATGACCGCTTGAGGATTGCCAGTGGTGGCGTTTCTACTCCTAGAAGCTAGCAAAATACATACAAAACCTCAAAGGAAGTGGCTTGCAATTAATTGGTAAACCATTCCATAAGATGGAAACTGCACGAGAGTTCTACGGTAGCACGGTTGGTAGTGGAGCCTAAACTTGTGTTGTGCACGTAAACCAAGCCATTACCCGACCAGGACTCTCGGAGGAATATAGGCGGCAACTGCTGGCCATGTCATCTTATCTTTCCCTTTTTAGAGTCACAAAACCATGTTTTCTGCTGGCCATTTCATCAGAATATGTAAATGATCTCGCTGTTATGTGATGGATAGTTTTTTTTTCATGTAACTGAAAACCAAATCGGGTTATTTTCTTACAAACGGAGGCAAAAGATTTGGCTCATCCATCGTGCTTGATGACTACCGAACACTTCTTGAAAAAGATGTATTTGAATCCGTCCGCACCGGGAGCCTTGTCACTAGGCATCTTCTTAATGGCCTCCCAAACCTCCTCCGCGGTGATAGCAACATCAAGGACGTGCATGCAATGCAAGTCAAGTGGTTGTAAGTTGAGCTCATCCCAATTAAAGTCAAAATTGCTCTTGTCCCCTTTCTCCCTGACCTCGAAGAAGTGGTCATGTATAATCTTTTCTTTTTCCCCATGCTCGGTTACCCATCCGTGTGCATGATTGAACTGGTGGATGTGGTTTTTCCTTTTTCAAGCATTGACGTGGCGGTGAAAAAATTCGTGTGTGCGTCGCCATCTTTAAGATTTGCAATCCTAGCACATTGGATCTTCCTAGCCCTTTGAAGCACGACCAAACAAATCACCCTCTGTGTGAGCCTAGCGTGGAGATCAAACTCCTGAGGGGAGAGAAAGCAGTCGAAGTATCATAAGAAGGTGTCGCATGGAAATGGATCTTGGTCTTGGAGAAAAGGTTTTTACTCAACTCGGTGAGCAAAGTGCTGTTTTCTTGAGCTTATAATGCAAGATAATATATGGCTCCGTGTGGGGCACACGCTCACTCCACGCCTTTTGGACGACCTCATGAAATCAAGGCAAAGAAACCTAGAAATTCTCAAACTGGAAGGAACACGGTCTCCTAGGCCCCTTGTCATTGGCAAGCAGAAGAGGACAATGGTCGGAGAGGGAAGAAGACAAAGCGTGCAACATATGGGTGTTGAAGGTTGTGTCCCACTCGGCATTACAAAAGGAGTCAAAGCTCGTATAAGGTTGGGTTAGCCCTCTCATTGCTCCATGTGAAACGCCTATTCTGAAGATGAATCTCTTTGTGCTCGCAAGACTGCAAGGTGGCTCGGAAGCGGTTAATCCTACTATGGTTAACATTCCACTTGTTCTTGTCCCTAGCCTGATAAATTTGATTGAAGTCCCCGGAGGCTAGCCACGCCACACCCGGCAGGGGCTTGTGGCTGATCATCTTGGCAAAGAAGACATCTTTGCAAGCGGACTCGGTGGGACCATAGACGGACGTGATTTTGAAGCTCATCACCATAGTGCACGTTATTGTCGGATACTGCACAGGGGGTGATTGGGGTTGCACGGTGATTGCCCCCTCTAAAAAAGCAAAATAATTCATACTATATATTTAACATAAATCATCTATATAGGGTTGGAATTTAAATTTAAAATTTGTGAATTAAACCAGCAGCTTGTTACTCGGCTCGAGTCGACTTGAACTCCATGACTAATGAGCCGAGTTGAGTTCTAATCTGAGCTCGTTAACAGAATGTGTTTAACGAGACAAGCTATTAGTTACTCGTTTTGCTCATTAAGCTCATTAATCAGAAGAGACGTGAGATAAGTAATAATATTGTTGTTGATTGTTATCATTTGTAGAGTGCATCAAGTGTCCCTTTAGTGTAAAAACTGTAGATACATTTTTCTAGATTAATTGTATATGTAATACGTATATTTTGTTCTTTACGCTTATAACGAGTTAAACGAGCTAGCTCGAGGGTTACACAAGTTGAGCCCAGTATGATATTGAGCTCATTATGTTAACGAGTTGAGCCGAGCAGAGCTAACGCATTATCTTAACGACTGACCTCTAACTAATCAAGCCGAGCCGGCTCAACTCAACTTGAATTCCAGCCGCAATCATCTAATAAATTGTTACTACTTTAGAACTATCTATTGGAATTATGATGAGGTTTCGATCTGTTACTTCAAAGGGTGTTCCCCTCTTTGCGAAAAAAAATTATAGTGTTACTCAGAAAATTTGAACTGGTGTATGGAAGTTATGTTGTGCAGTATATGCATTGTATATGTAAACCGCGCCACGCCCCACTGCTAAGGGCATCTTCAGCCGCGCCCCCAACAGGCCCCCCAGGCCACTTTTTCGGCACCGGCACCGAAAAAACGGCCCAGTCGCGCCCCCAGGACGCCGAAAATCACCGGTTCGGACCTTTTTTCCGCCCGGCGGTCACAGGCCGAACCCGGCGCGCTGGGGAGCAGTTGGGGGCTCCGGCGCTAGGCAAAAGCACGCCTGGCCCACACCGATAGGGGAAAAGTCAAGGTTTTCTTCCCCCGACTCGCCTCGCACCCCCCGCGCCCTCGGTCACCACTAGCTATATCCCGGCGACAGCCGCCGCCCTACTCCGGTAGATAGCCATTCCCCGCCGGAAAATAGCAGCGCTTCGCCGCGGCATCCCCTCCCACAGCAGCTGGGCGTTTCCGGCCGCCGTTTCCGGCCGCGGAGGCGCGGTTTAACGGCGAGTACACGCCCACCGAGCGCAAGGTGTTCGGCGTTTTGCTTGTCTCGGCGATGGACTCGGATGAGGAGGAAGAGCTCGCCGCGCTGCTGGAGGAGGAAGCCGCGGCCGACATCCGGGAAGAAGAGCATCTCATGGTGCTCGCCGCCCTCGCCCAGCTGCTGGCGAGCAATGAAAAGCCGTGGCGAGGTGGCTCGGCGCCGGGGCGGGTGAAAGCAAAGAACCGGCATCGTCTCCAAGGCTACTGCATGCTCTACTCCGGCTACTTCGTCGATGCTCCACTTCATGACGAGAGAACATTTCGGCGCCGTTATCGGATGAGCCGAAAGCTCTTCCTCAGGATTGTGAATTCCATCCGGGAGTTCGACAACTACTTCAAGTGCAAGATGGATTGCACTGGCGCTCTTGGATTCACCTCCATCCAGAAGTGCACGACAGCGATGAGGATGCTTGCATATGGAGCTCCCAGTGATTCACTCGACGACTATGGGCGCATGGCCGAGTCCACCAGCATAGAGTGTTTCTACAAGTTCTGTCGGGCAGTGGTGGCAGTGTTTGGGCCACAATACTTGAGAACACCCAATGCGGAAGACACTGCTTGGATCCTAGCCCAGAATGCAGCAAGAGGATTTCCTGGGATGCTTGGAAGTATCGACTGCATGCATTGGAAATGGAAGAACTGCACATTTGGTTGGCAGGGGATGTACAAAGGCGCCAAAGGCGGTTGCAGTATGGTGCTTGAGGCGGTAGCCACACAGGACCTCTGGATTTGGCACTCCTTCTTTGGTATGCCAGGAACTCACAATGACATCAACGTACTGCAGTGCTCTCCTGTTTTTGCCAAGCTCGTTGAGGGTCATTCTCCTCCGGTGAACTTCGAGATCAATGGGCACCAATACAACAAGGGGTACTATCTAGCTGACGGCATCTATCCGAGATGGTCGACATTTGTGAAGACGATCTCAAACCCTGTGGCAGGAGGCAAGAACGCCTGGTTTGCGAAGTTTCAGGAGGCTTGCAGGAAGGATGTCGAGCGGGCATTTGGTGTGCTCCAATCTCGATTTGTTGTTGTTCGGTACCCCGCTCAGACCTGGTCCAAAGATCAAATATGGGAGATTATGACTTGTTGTGTCATCTTGCACAACATGATCATCGAGAACGAGCAAGAAGACCCAGTGTTTGACACTGAACCATACTACAGGCAGGGTCCTCTAGCCGAAATTGATCACCAGCTACCGGCAACTTGGACTGCCTATCTCAGTATGCGTCAGGAGATCCGAGACCCACAGGTGCATCATCAACTGCAGAAAGATCTGATTGAGCACCTATGGAGGCTCAAGGGGGACGCCGTGTGATGAAATACGAGTTTTTATTTGTTGAACTATATAATTTGTATTGAACTATTTGTTGTTGTACTATTTTGTTGAAGTATTTGATTTTTCTGTGATGAAATATGTGATAAGAAATAATTGTGTTGATAATTGAACGCCGAGACACGGCGAAACCATGCCGAATATGGGCCTATTCTCGCCCATATGGGTCCTTTATTCGTCGAAATTGGGCTGCAAAGTGAGTCAATTTCGGCGCCTGGGGGCGACGACTGGGCGCAAAACCACCCCCAGCGCCGAGTGTATCGCCAGCTCGCCCCCAGGGGACGATTTTTATGCGTCCTGGGGGGCCAACGGCTGGAGATGCCCTAAGATCGTAAGTCCACCCTTGTGTGTACATCTCCGTACTTTTTTTTTCTTTGCGAATAACATCTCCGTACGTATTTAACTTGAACAGAAAGATAAAACTGTCAATGCTCTCCATATTAACTTGAACAGAAATTTAATCTAAAAAAAAAACTTGATCAGAGATTTACATCACCATAGCTCACTTTATTATCGGGTGATACACATCTCCATAAGTAACCTGAACAGAACAGTGAAACTGCCCTATGTTCACGTATATCGACGTAAATATATAAGCCCCGAAAGGCAAACATAATAATTTATCAGTTGTCATCAGTCCGCGGCACCTCAACGCCGTCTTCGAGCTTGAAATCGGCGGGGTTGTAGCTGACACCGTTGCCTGCCTCCACCACGGTCGGACAGTGACGGTCCGGCTCATGGCAAATCTTGGGAGGACGTCCCTTGTATGCCTTGCAGACGTAAGATACGAATTCCCGGTCCTCCTGTAACAAACGAGCTCGTCATAATTCAAGAGCTCGCATGTGCATACATGATGAAATTCAGACATCATAAACAAAACCGGATCTAAAACTCATGGAAAGAAATGGTTGCATGCATCACCCAGAGGCAAAAGTCGAGGGTCATCCTCATTTTCAAAAAAAAAAAAACTCATGGGAAGGAAGAGTGGGTGTCGCTTACGCGTGGCTTGCCATCTACCACCACATGTGGGACGCCGTTGAGCGGAGGCACAAGCGCACCAGTTTGTTTCCCGTACTTGAGTGAAAGCTGGAGTGGAGCAAACAACGTAACACTCTGGTTAGCAATGCAACTATAAAATGTACTGTACGTACTACAGTACTATACTATGTGATTGATACTAGTAGTAGTACAATACAACGCAGCTTCATAGGAACGGAACGGAACGGAGCGGAGCGGACCTTGTGGCCATGCTCACTCTTGTAGCACTCCGTGACAGCCTTGGGTTCGAGCCCCAGTTTGTGGAAGCACGACTCCCACTCCCCCTGTATTTCGTTCATCACGAGGCCCTCCACGCAGTTGATGAAACCGAAATGCACATTCTGCAACCAACAACAGCTACCCGTGAGGAGAGACGACGATGAGATGCAAATGAATTACCACGTCCGGCCAGGCGTCGATGGCGCAAGCCTCCACCGTGTTGAGAAGGCATTCCTCGGGGCCATGCTGAATGCAAGCCAATAATATCCCAACGTTAGTATGAGCATCAGCCCAAACGAACTGAGAACGTATAAATGACCAAAGGAAGAAGGAGAAGAGAGCACGATTGATCGGTGGACGATGTCGCACCTCACATGTGATTGTGCCGCCCTTGCCGACCTTGGCGTTGCCGTAGGGGACGAGAGTCACGTCCGCGGCCTCCAGGAGGCCGTCCTCCAAGGCTTCGGCGAGGCGGTCCGTCACGAACTGCGCTGAGCTGGGGCACAGGGACTCGTAGTAAAGCTCCACGGGCACCTTCCCGTTCCCTGCCGCGCCAGCTGAGGAGGGGGCGCCGCGTCCGATCAACAGGAGGAGCGCGGCGAGGAGGAGGAAATGGTGCAGGCGGGCGGCCATGGTGGACAGTGCAGAGGCGAAGGTTGCCGTCGGGAGCTTGGATGAATGGAGGAGCTTGGCAGTGGTGGGTTTATATAAGCGATTAGGGTGGCCACGTGTTTAGCGAGGTGCTTTAAAGGCCAAACTGACGAGCATCCTCTCTGTGTGTGCCAGTGTGTGGCGACGTGGTGCATGTCTCTGTTAGACTATGTATAGCTTTTGTACCTATGTACGTATATGGTACATATTGTAACACAATCATTATATATAATGAGATAAGCCACCCCTAGAGGGTCGTGCTGGTTCCCCAAAACTTATTGTCTTACATGGTATCACGCTAGGTTACGATCGCTTCCGCTTCTAAACCCTAATACCCGCACCGCCGCCGCAGCCTTCACCGCCGCCGCCGCGCCACCGATCGCGCCGCCGCCATGTCGAGCGCCGCCACCACCGGTTCCACTGCTGCGGGCTTTCTCCCGGCCTCTCTTGCGGCTCTGCTCAACCTCCCGCTCGATGCCGTCTCTGTTCCGGCTCCGATCGGGGCAAGGAGCATCGGCTCCGTCTTCTCCACGCCGCCGGCGCCCTCGCTTGGGCGTGACCTCGTGGTCCACACCGCGGCGCCGCCGTCCGCTGCGGACTCCGCAGGCGTCGTCCCGCCGCTCCTGCCGCAAGCGGATCACACTGCCCCGCTGGCGGGGTTGGCGGCGTCCGCCCCGGCCGCGGGCCTTGCGGCGTCCGCACCGGCCGCGAGCTTTGCGGCGCCCGCCCTGGCTGCGGTCCCGCCTCCTCCCGCATCGGCTTCGGTGCCTCCGGCTGCCTCCATGGTGTTTGCACCCCAGGCAGCCTCCTCGATGGGATTGTCTTCGCCGCCGTCGTTTCACTTCGGTCATCTCATCACCATCAAGCTCTCCGCCGACAACTACATCTTCTGGCGTGCGCAGGTTCTCCCGCTCTTGGGGAGTCACTACCTGCTAGGCTACGTCGACGGATCGCTTCCCTGCCCACCCGCGCTGGTAGACAGCGTGCACGGTCCGGTCTACAATCCGGCCCATCGCGTCTGGACGGGGCAGGACCAGGCGAACCTCTCCTCCATCCAGGGGTCGCTCTCGCCGGCAGTTGCTGGCCTTGTTGTCTTCGCGAAGACGTCTCATGAGGCCTGGACCATCCTTGAGCGCACCTTTGCAGCGCAGTCCCAGGCTCGTGTCTCTGCACTCCGTCGTCAGCTTGGAGAGTGTCAGAAGCTTGACTCCACTGCCACTGAGTTCTACAACAAGGTCAAGGGCCTCGCCGACACATTGGCCTCCATTGGACAGCCCCTCACCGACTCCGAGTTCAACTCGTTTATTGTCAATGGTCTTGATGAGGAGTATGATGCCTTAGTCAAGATCATCAACGAGCGGGGCAACTCGACACCCATGCTGGCACACGAGGTTTTCTCTCGGCTCCTTCTCACTGAGCAACGGGTCGAGACTCGCCGCACCAGGGGCACTGGCTCCCTCTCGGCCAACGCCGCCACCAAGGGTGGCCGCTCTTCTTCATCACCCCGGTCTCCCTTGGGGCTGCCACCGTCGCCCGCCTCGGCCCCCCCACCTACTGCGACCTTACCGGGGGCTGGCGGTCCACGTGTGTGTCAGCTTTGTGGCCGCGATGGGCACTGGGCCTCCAAGTGTCATAAGCGCTTCCAGCGAAGCTTCCTTGGTCTTGGCAATGACGGCAAAGATACACGCAACAATGCCCGTCAGGTCGCCATGGCTGATCGTCCCGCGCCGCAGAAGCAACAGGGACACACTCAGTCCTACTCCATCGATCCACACTGGTACATGGACTCTGGGGCGACAGAGCATCTAACCAGCGAGATGGGAAGCTTCACACTCGTGAACCCTATCATGGCTCCGACAAGATCCACACCGCCAATGGAGCAGGTATGCACATCTCTCATATTGGTCAAGCATCTCTTCTCACTAGACATGCCAATAGGAGTCTTCAGCTTCGCAATGTTCTTCGAGTTCCATCTGTGACCCGTAATCTTCTTTCAGTTCCTAAACTCACACGTGATAATAATGTGCTTTGTGAATTTCACCCTTTTGATCTTTTTATTAAGGATCGGGGCACGAGGGACATTCTTCTTAGTGGGCGGTTGTGCCAGGGCCTCTACCGTCTGGAGCATCCTGGTGTCGCTCGTGTTTTCAGTGGAGTTCGGGTCTCTCCGTCACAGTGGCATGCTCGTCTTGGTCACCCGGCCACACCTATTGTCCGTCATATTTTGCGTCGTCATGAGCTTCCTAGTTTGTCTAGTCATAAAGATGTAGCAGTGTGTGATGCTTGTCAGTAGGGGAAGAGTCATCAACTTCCTTTTTCGGAGTCCAGTCGTGAGGTGAAACATCCTTTAGAACTTGTGTTTTCAGATGTATGGGGTCCTGCTCAGACTTCTGTCAGTGGTCATAATTACTATATCAGTTTCGTTGATGCTTATAGTCGCTTTACCTGGCTTTACCTTATTAAACGCAAATCTGATGTGTTTGATATTTTTGTGCAGTTTCAAAAACATGTTGAACGTCTTCTCAAGCACAAAATTGTTCATGTCCAGTCAGACTGGGGGGGGCGAGTATCGCAATCTCAACTCTTTCTTTCAGTCGCTTGGGATAGCTCATCGTTTAGCATGTCCACATACACATCAGCAGAATGGTTCAGTCGAACGTAAGCATCGTGTCACACCCTAGCTAGTCATGCATTAGAGTGTTGCATCATGTTTACTCTTTCATCAGAAACCTGAAATGGGGATTTGTGAAACCCTCAGAATCATTTTTGAAAATGATCCAAATAAAAATTTCTCCAAAAGGGTCCAAGAAAATGCTCATGTTGCTCTCTGAAAATATTGGACAGAGATAAAAATCAAACCAATATTTTTAAGAGCTCATTGGTATTTATTTTGGGCATTTGGAATTAATGCATAACTATTTGCATTGGAAATATATTAGTTATATATATTAATATATGTCCAAAAATTATGCCACCTGTTGGGGAGCTCTAGAATAATATATCTAGCTCCTGCAAAAATTGGCATAAGGTAATAAAATGATTTAATATTTTATTTAAATCAAAACAAATGTCAGAAATTAGAAAAATAAAGTAAATAAAGAGGGAGAAGCTTACCTGGGGCTCCTCCCTGTGCAGCCCAGCAGTAGCTGGCCGGCCCAGCCAGCTGGCCGGCCCAGCCCGCCTCCTCCTCTGTCGTCTTCGTCCTCGACAGAGGAAGGGGAGTGTGCCCGGCGCGCGCGCGCCACCGCGCCACGCCACCAGCTC